CCACATGTCAAGCAATGCGCAACGTTGCCTTGAGTAAGCTGGCATTGAAGTAAAAGATTAGGATGTGGCGGCTCGATTGAGCATTTCGAGGAGCTCGGGGCGCGATTGAAGCATTGAGCGCGCAGTTTTCAAGTCCACCTGCAGCAGGGGGGTCGTCAGTGTGATGCAGTCGTGTGGCCGTGATGTACCCATCGCCGTTGGCGGTGCTTGCTTTCAGACCATTCCTCGTACTCCTTGGTGACTCGCATGGACACCCCAATCAGTCGGCTCGGTTTCGAACGGTCGCTGCTGTTCGCGCTTGTGTAGTTAACTTCGCCTAAAGGTTGCAAGTCGATCCCTTCAACCTGAGAGGCACGTCATATGCATCAGCTGCGCCGTGAATGCCTCATGTATACGAAGGTATACCCCTGCTTCTTCTTCGAGCTCCCGCGACGCGCAAGCTTGGACAGACTCGTCGGTCTCCCATCCTCCCTTAGGAAAGATCCAGCAATCTTTATGCTTCGAGCTTGAGATCAAGAGTACTTGGCCCGCTGGAGAGAATGGCACAATGCACACAATTAGGCGCACGTCGCCGTCATATCGCTGGTTTTCGCGTCCAACGCGGGAATGCTGCAGCGGCGCAGCATCTCCACGCAACATCAACGGTGTCGACGCAGGTTGTTGCTTTACTGCTGAACGCGTTTCGCATTGCGTTCTGATTGGTGGGACTTCGAGAAAATCGAGTGGAGTAACTATTTTGATTGGTCCGTTGAGATCCGCATTTGATTGGGCATTTTTGGAAACGGTCGGCCGTCGACGTACGATATACCTTAATCAAGTGAAACCACACGACGCATATATTTTCATTTTTGCTAAAATTATATGGATGGAAAAGCACCTCATCATCAAAAAATCATAATTCTCCCTCTATGGCATCCAGACTCAACAATTGGAATTAAGGATGAAATAGAGATATTTTGGTCTGATAATTGCAATTGACAAGCAATTTTCAGACCAAAATATCTTTCAAGCAAGCAAAATATTCCATCTTGTGTATTCCACTCGTTCGCTCACAATCCATCACGATTGAAATTCTTGGCTTGTGAATCCTCAAGGCGCGTCGGGGGAAGCCGAGGTTTGCCGAGCAAGGAGCAGAATGCTCGGGCCCACGTGAGATGTGGCGTCGCCGCGATTCCTCCGGCGATCCCATCTCCCTTAATGGAAAGCCTGAACGCGATCTCGCAGCGCCTAC